CACTGACTGAAAAGATACCATATACACATTTTACACTCGTAATTGTACGTGTACTCGATCAATTGCGATATAGATTCTTTCATTCTTAAACCTGAAATCTCTGTCTAGACTGTAGCTCTACTGGTTTATACTTATAACAAAGGAAGAGAAAAGTAGCAGTTGGAACTTGAAACATTAAAACACCAATAAATAGAATAATGATCCTTGCTTAAGTCACTTTTTGTGGCAATACTGCAATAAGACTACAACCTTCGGAGTAGCATTTAATGAAATTTTAAAGAATTTTCAATTTTGGTTACCATGGCAACATCATTCATCAAAATAAATTTAAAAAACAATAAAGACAATAATGTATCTTAATGTAGTCTATCTGAATGCCACATTATATCGTAATCAAACTAAAAATGTATAAAGTTTGTGACAGCATTTTAAAATAATTTTATGGAACATTCTATTTTTACATCGCAAAATCGTTCACGGAAATCAAAAACCGATGCATAGAAATATGTACCTAAGTATAGTCTACTTGTGTACCAAGTTATATTGAAATCAGACCAAAACTGTAGGAGGAGTAACGTTTTGAAATAATTTAACAAAAAAATTTATTTTTAGTAACCACGGAAAAACCGTTCATCGAAATCAAATATTGATGCACAAAATTATGTATCGTAGTATACTCTACTTGAGTGCCAAGTTATATTGAAATGTGACCAAAACTGTAGGAGTGTAGCATTTTGTAAAAAAATGTTTACAGACAGACAGACAGACGCATTACTATCACACAAGCTCTTCTGGTCTCTGACCAGTAGAGCTAAAAATTATCAAATCATTACCTTCAAAGATAGGGTTGGGCCAAAATAGGATATCAAAGTTTATCTTAGGAATACATAGGAAAAATCTGCTTCTCAAGAACAACTTGATTAAACTAGAGGGAAAGCATCCTCTGGAAGTATTGATGCAGTTGTTGAAGATTAAATTTTTCTCTCCATTTATTTATATAAATATCATACAATACACTGTTTACAAAGATTTTTTAACAGCAGACAGAGTTTTTAATATTGAAAATTTCAAAATTGTATAAATCTAATACATAATAGCACATACGCAAACATCTTTGATCATTTTTTAAATACTAAAGTATTATAAATTTCATGAATATCATTGTTTTGTATTATAATTGTATTAAATTTCAGTAAAATGAACTCAAACAATACAAAAAATAAATAAAAGTATATAACAAACTGATATTTTTCGTATATATCTGTTAATATTTGATATAATACCATTGACAATTGATTATGAGATAAAAGTTTGTTCACACCTTGACTCCCAGGGTAGGGTGGGGCCAACATGGGGGTATCAACGTTTATAATTATAGTTTTCTTAACAACACCAAAGCCATGATTGGTCTTAGTTATAATCATCCTTAGGTGAAGATATCACCCCCCCGGGGGTAGGATGCGGCCAAAGTGGGATATCAAAGTTTAACATAGGAATACACAGAAAAAATCGTCTTCTCAAGAACAGCAAAACCATGATTGGTCTTAGCTATATGAAAGCATTCTCAAGATATAAAGTTTAAACTTTGATTCAATCATGACCCCCAACGTTAGGGTGGGGCCACACTGGGGTATCAAGGTAAAACATACATTAGGAATACATAGGAAAAATATTTAAAATTCTTCTCCAGAACAGCAAAGCCTAAGTTAAGTGAAAGCATTATCAGGTAGTGTTTATTAATTGATTTGTTGATTGATCGATTTGGTTGAGCCACAAAATTAAACATAGCAATACAAAGAAAAAAATCTTCAACTTTTCTCAAGAACAGCATAGTCATAGTTATAAGAGAGCATTGTCAGGTAGTGTAGATTAAAGTTGTTCAAATCATGACCCCTTGGGCAAGGCTGAGGCCTTAATGGTTGATCAAAGTTATAAGAAGGATAACAGAAAAAAATCTTTTGAAATCCTCGTTATCGAGAACAAAGAAGCTGAGATCATTGTTTTTGTTTCCTAGGGACATTGCCGTTTGTTCAAAACATGACCTAAGGGGTCGAGATGCACCACAATGGGTGATCAAGGTTTTTTGTCGGAATACATAGGAAAATCATTCATATTCTTCACTAAAAAACAACAAAGCCTTTATTGATCATCAATATAAAGCATCAAAAAAGTAAAGATTTAAGTTGGTTCAAATCCCTCCCTCCTAGAACCAACTTTTAAATTTAAACTTTTGAATACTGAAGTGATATTAGCTTTTACCTAGCTAGTTGCTCATGTTAACGAAGTGGCCCCTGGGCCTCTTGTTTCTTGGATAATTTACATTCTGAAATGAAAATAAGGAAAACAGACATTTATCATAACTCACCACATGGTTTTAGTAGAACGTTCTCCCTCGTTTTGGTGTGATTTTGACATGTTGCATTAATCCACAGTCTATAGCCGGCGTGGTGAGTGTGATTAAACTGTGTAATAAATACTAAAAGTCCACTGCTTTCATTATAGAAACTGTTTTCACTAGGATAGCATAATAGTTCTCCTCTGTCGTCTTGGCAATGTGCCAAGTTGTTTTGAGACAGCTTTGACACAATATTGATCTGAACGTTCTTCACTTGACATTCCAGATACACCTCAACCCGCAGTTCTTTTAAATGACAGGTCCCTTTTTCTAATTCTTCTTCATTTCTGATTATTCCTACAATAAAGATTTTTTGAAGAATTTTACTGGCACAGTGCTAACTAGAAGCACATGTTACAAAAACCTTCTTATGGTTTATAAAGTAAACCACAATATCAACAACCTCTTGTCCATCCCGTTAAACACTTCTTATCTATTTATATTTGTTATATTTTTTTTAATTCTTTAAAAAATGACTTTAACGTTCAAGATTAAAATCTGAGATGAATAATATTACTGTCCTCTTGATAAAGATAGGTTTGTACGAATCCTTTCCTTTTTGTGTTATACAATTTCGAAAGTAATGTCAGTAGTAGATGTAAACAATTTTTCTATTTTCCCTGAGACTTAAAACAAGCAATATGCGTATTGCGCAAAAAATATTTAAATGAGATAGCACTGCAAATCTTCAGGGGGGGAGGGGGGCTTACGCATGGTACAAGACATACCTCAGATTTGATCGATTGATAAGGGATTACTTTCTGTTCCAGTTTACAGGCAGGGGCAGGTTAACTGTGCTCGTGGTTTGTAATGATTAATTTTTTAGAATGAACACATTCCTTATCGTTTCAATCCATTTCCAGTCAATCCACCTAACCTATGATTTGTAAAGCATGTTTTGTACACCTGTCAGGAAATTACATTTGAAAACGCAGTCTTACCTTGAATTAAAATAACTCCTTGAAATATCAATAATGCTGTCAGACGAAACGAATTCATTTCCTGATATTTCTCAACAAATTTTTACTTTTTTAAAAGCTCATGATGTAGTACCATGAAATAACGAAGTTCTTTCGTTGAACATTTGTTAACATTCTTCGCGTATCCTTTTCTATCTGTTATCCTACAAACGCAAAACAAAATTGTAAATTTCATTTCAATTTATAACCGTGGTCTTACTTTCTCTTTCAAAGGTTTGTAGATTTAAATTCCATTCCGTTGAACCATATACATGTCCTATCGATCCAGTAACTTCCGTGTTGTTCTAGAACAATTCATCCAAGCAACAAATGATTTCAAATTGTATATACATGTATTTACAATGCATTAATTTTGCTTTCATTTAACATACAATTCACAAGAAATCGCTTTCAAACTGTGACAATTTTTTAGCAAATAAAAAAATTGTCTCAATTCGATAAGCTCTTGTGCATACCTGCATGGGTTCTTATACATACTTCGGAATGTATTTTGTTTAAGTGATCTATTTCGCTAAAAAGATTTTGTTTCTCGACAAACTTTCACTTAAGAGAGAAACTCTTTAAGATCTTTTCAAAATATTGTGAGGAGCATTCTCCTAAAATGCTTCCTCCCCATTGTTCGTTTTCATTTGAATATTTCTTATCTTTTGAAAGTTTAATACTTTTCTTTTATCCAACAATTTTATATTTAAGGTAAATTAACGTTTCAGACTTTGGAAACCTTATAGTGACTTCTACTGTTTTTTCTTATTATTATTCTTATTATTATTTTTTTCCCCAAATCTTGTCGGCAGGATTTCTCAGAGATGGCTGGACGGATTTTCCTGAAATTTTTAGGGATGATAGACAATGAAAATACCCCGAGACGTTTTTTTTTTTTTTGAAAATTCACTTCCGGTCGTCAGATATGTCCGATTTCCGCTTTTTTAAAAAAATATTTAATTTTGAGATCTCAGTAAACGGTAAGAGATTAAGGCACCAAACTTACAGGGATGATATTTTCTTGATATGTAGGCAAATCCAATTGGGTTAAAATTGTCCGCCGTCTCTTCCGGTCGTCACAGGAAATTTCTATTTGAAAAAATAAAAAATTTCAACTTTTCTTTTATTAAACTTTTTTTGCATCAAATTATAGCATCTTATTTGTAGTTTCGAAATATGTCAGTCCCACCGGAAACAAAAACGACAACTTCCGGTTAAAAGAGAAAAACTGCATATTTTCAGTATTTTTCTTTCCCATGAATATTTTTTATAGATGAAGTTTTCGAAATGACTTTTAAAAGTGTTATTCAGACTGCAAATGACTAAAGTAACGTCAAATATCTTTGTTTGTTTAAAAAAATTCACTTCCGGTCCGTGATAAGAATTCCTGTCCTCAAAATGAATAGTTCTTATAGCTATATCTATGAAACGGTGCAAAGTGGTTATTCCTATAACTAATGTATATTAAATGCTTTGTGTGCACAAGGGAAAAACAAACAAATATAGATTGTCCTAAATTATTTCCGGTCGTCACAAAAAGTTTTTTTTTTTCAAAGAAAGGAAATTAAAATTTTATATAGGTGTGTATGGAACGTTTATTGCATCACATTATAGCACTTTATTTGTAGTTTCAAAAAATATCAGCTCCACCAGAAACAAAAATGACAACTTCCGGTTATAAATGAAAAAACTAAATAATTTGAATATTTTCTTTCCAATGCATATTTTTTATAGATAAAGTGTTTGCAACTGTTTTTGGCTATGTTATTCAGACTACAAATGTCTACAGTAACAGTTAATTCAACTGATTTTTTTAAAATTCACTTCCGGTTGTGTGTGATTTCCTGGGTTCAAAATGAGAAATTATTATAGCTAGATCTCTTAAACGGAAAGATACACACCGTAAAACTTTGACAAGTGGTATATCCTGATGGGTTAGCAATTCCATGGTGGATAAGATCGTCTGTCATCACTTCCGGTCGTCACAGGAAGTGATCAGACGTTTTAGGACCAAAAAGTCAACTTTCCCTTGTGGAAACTTTTTTTATCACACAATAGCATCTTATTTGTAGTTTTGAAAAAAGCCAGTAACACCGAAAACAAAGAACACAACTTCAGGTTATAAGAGAAAAGCTTCATAATTTGACATATTTTTCTTTCCAGTAAATATTTTTTATAGATGCATTATTTGTAATGATTTTTGGATATGTTATTAACAAACGAACTGTCTTAAGTAATTGCCATTCAGTATCTTTAAAAAATTCACTTCCAATGCGTGATTTCCTGTCCTCAAAATGAGAAGTTATCATAACTAGATCTCGTAAAGGGAAGAAGAATAAGACATCAAACTTTTAAAGCGCAATGTGAAAGAAAATCTTGAACATCAAAATGTGTAGGCAAAAGGAGATGCAAGAACAATCGAAGAATTTAATGAAAACATCACTTCCGGTTGTCACAGGAAGTGAACAAATGCCCAATAAAAACTTTTCTTAATGAAATCTTTCTTAGTAATATAGAACATACCAGTCTTTTTTGTAGTTTTGAAATATATCAAAGAGTCCCAATGGAAACAAAATGGACAACTTCCGATTATTTAAGGAGAAAAACTGCATAAATTTAGTATTATACTATACCATAAATATTTTTGAAGACAAAGAAGAGCATTAGAAATGATTTTATGACATGTTATTTAGACTGAAATGTGTTAGTAACCTCAAATGTAAAATACAACATTTTTGGACTTATAAATTACAGTGTAAATTAACTTTTCGGACTTTGTGTAAATTATTGTCAAAACTTTTCTTACATTTCGGCAAATGTGATCAATTATATAAATTCCGCACAGCCTTAATCCCACCCGAGGCATAGTCAGAGATTGGACAGTTAATTCCTTAATTGACATCTGTTTATATTTATTGACACTTAATCTTTCATCTTTAATTCTATTATATACATACTGCTAAAATGTCACCATTCGCTCAATAATTGTTTGATACTTGATTTCTATATACCTTTTGTTAATCCTTTTATTTTACTCTGTCTTTGTTCAGTATGTATGTTTTGTTGTTAAAATTATAGTCAGTTGGAATCAGACCTTCGGTGCTGATACATCCCAAACTCATGTAAAAGTTTATTCCATGCTGTTTCTATATAAAAGTACAAATTTGTAACTCGTGTTTGTGTCTTGAGGTTTAAAAGAATCTGGGTTCAACAATAAGAGGAAAGCTCACGATTGAACCAGAATCAGTAATAGACGGACAAATACACCCCGTAAAACTTTTCTTTTATCCAAAAATTTTATGTTTATAATATATACGAGGGTTGTTCGAAAAGTTCGTGGACGATGTCAATCTTCGTTATACTACTTTCAAGAAATTGAAAATAAGCTCAATATCCTGTGTAAAAATATTTTTTTTGTTTATGAGTGAAGTTTTATTTCATTCGATTTAATAGAAATCAATTTACTTCATTTTAAAATCAACATGTTTTGTACCCGCGGAGCATACTTAACGGCGATGTAACGTCAAAAACATAGCATCAAGAATTTCTTAAAAGGACTATCCCTATAGATTTCAACAGTTTAGTTCAATAATCACTTATTAAAAAACCCTTTTCTAGCACTTGAAATTCATTTTTCTAACAATTGCTCTCATTGTATAATTTCCTTTGTCAATGTTTTAATTTCTTTTACCACTTAGCTGTGCTTTTACAAGATCAGCAACTCGGAAGCGCTATGTCTTTTCATGACGTACCAAATTTTTAAAGTTTTTGATCAGATTTTATCAGATAAACCGTTTCTTCACAGATTGTCCTCGTCCGATACAGAGCCTCTGTCTCTCAAATACCGTCTGTACCATTTATAAACACATACACGACTTAATAGTGACTTAATATTTTTATTCCTTTAACATTTTTAGAATTTATCGAGGATTTTTTCCCGAGTATAACACAAAATTGCATCGTTACGTGCTGCTCTGTAAAAAACGTTCAACAACGTCAAAATTTTTGCCGCTTTCAAGGATTTTTTCTTCCCAAATTTATATCTTCTAAAGCAATCAAAATATTTAGCCATAATTTGGAATATGAATCAATTTAACAGTCCTTAATTTCAAAGTCTATGATTTTTTTCCCGTTTTTGCTCCTTTTTACAGAGAATATGACTACAGACAGTGCCATATGTATTTCATGTGTTGTTTGTGAAGTTCTAAATTTTGACCTGCTCCGCGATCCGATTTTTGCAGTTTTAAATTCTGGAGTGGTTTGAAATTAATTATGATATATTAATTTTTTTAAACACAAACCATTTGGATTTATTGTTAAAATATTCCTACCAAAATTGGTTTGCATATGACGTTAAATAAAAACTAGAGGTACTGTGAGCAATGAGCTCACTAAATGATACCCCCCGCCCCCCCCCCCCCCCTATGATTATAATGGCAACTTTCATGTTTTGCGATGGCCAGGAAACCCAAAATATTTGTCAGATCAAAAAATAAAATAGGAGGTGCACAATGGCAATATGTAATAAAGATTCTGTGAAAGTTGCATCAAATTTCATTCAGTGGTATGAGAGGAGTTGCGGATAAGAGATGGGTACCCCAAAGCGTAACAGACGGACAGACGGACAGACGGAAGGACGGACGGAACACAGCCAGTTTAGAGTTATGTGATGAATTAACGATTATATATACCCTCCCGCTTTTCAAGCGGGGGGTATAAAGATATGACAGGAGTCCACGAACTTTTCGAACAACCCTCGTAATTACTAATCAAGCTTTGCTCTTATAAAACAAACGTGTACATCTAAAAATCATTATAAGTTTGTACCATGAGATCAGTTTTTTATTGTTTAATATCACTATTTAATAAAGCGCTTCGTAATACAGCTTTTATTGTAAAGAAATAATGGAAAGATACACGCACATATATTACATTTTATCATATTAAATATCCGTGCACTATTTGAGGCGTAATTCAAAACAAAACTTTCCTTACGAAAGATCGTAAATTTACCTGCTTTATCTGAAAACCGTTTGGTTATCCAGTTTTGTCCTCGGAATATTGTCTTAAAAAAAGGATTAAAATTTATTTTTACTTATAACTGAAACCGAAATATTTAACAATGCACAATGTTTCTATATTAATACTTTCTTTAGTTAAGGATAGACTGGATACTTAAAAATCCAAATATCGTCAGGGTCTTTTTCAGAATTTTTAATGGATAATTGTAGAACTTTGTTATGTAGATAAACAGTTTGTATTATTACCCAACATGCCAACTTCATAGCGTGATATTATGACAATACCCCACATGACCCGCCGTTAGCCCGTGTAATATAAATCAATATAAAGACAATA